CCCGAGCTGAAGGCCCAGGCGGAGGAGGTGGTCCCCGGCCCGGCCGCGTCTCCGCCGCCCTCCCAGGAGCCCGCGCCGCAGGCCGAGCTTCCCGCCCCCGCGCAGGGCTCTGCCTTGGCGGAGCAGGTCAGCGACCCGCCTGCGGATGGCCCGGCTCATGCGTCGGCAGAGGAGGCTGGCGGACCCGAGGGCAGCGCGGCTGAGGCCGAGCCGCGCGTGGTGGAGAACGGCGAGGCGGATGAGCCCTCCTTCAGCGACCCCGAGGACTTCGTGGACGACGTGAGCGAGGAAGGTGAGGCGCGTGAGCCTGGCGGAACCTTCTGGCTGGTTCCCCTGCCTGGGCACAAATCCGGTGAGGGTGTGCGCGAAATTCAGCCAGGCCGGGAGGGGTGCCCGCTGCAGCTGCTGTCGCTGCGTGCAGCGGGTGTCCGGACCCTGCTCTCTTGTTTCCAGACGGGGGTCGGAGAGCTCTTAGGAGCCCGGTGTGTATGAGTAGTACCAGCTGGGGGGCAGAGCCTAGCAGAATGCACCATTTCCGGGCCCAGGACCCCGGAGCTGACCAACCAGATCTGAGCTGGCCGAAATGAAGGGACAGGTGGTGCAGAACTTGGTGCAGTGTTGTTCTACTAATTTCTTAATAGAACAGTGCCTGGCAGAACCTGCCAAGTTCTCATCTTTTTTTTAAGTCTACAGAGCAGACCATTACTTTTTCAGATTTAATGGCATTTAAACATTTTTAAGCGGCTCCCAGTTACTGTCATCATTGTTTTACAGTTTTTTGATATAAAAATAATTTAGCGTGAGGAGTAGAGTAAACACGACTGTGAACATCTAGTCTGCCGCTTTTCCCTGAGGAAGTGTGTCCTTTCGGGTAAACTAGGTTACTAGGATTATAACCGGACTCTTTGTCCAGACCGGTGATTTTTTTTAACACACCAATCCTCCCCACCCCTATATTCTTATTTACTTATTATGTGGTATTGAGGATCAAACCCGTTGCCATCAAGCGTGGGAGCTCCACCTCTAAGCTACAACCCCAGCCTCTAACACGCCAGTTTTGTTTTCTAATTTTTCTTAGTTATACATGGCAACAATATCTTTATTTTGTTTATTTTTATGTCGTGCTGAGGATTGAACCCAGTGCCTCACATGTGCAAGGCAAATGCTCGGCTGTTGAGCCACAATCCTAGCCCTGTTTTGTTTTTTAATCTGACTTTTGTTTATACGCTCATTTTGAACCCTTGGTTATTTATTTTGCAGTTGAGTTTTTAAAAAAATCATTCTTTAAGACCACCACTCACAGACTGGAGGGGTGTGCGTGTGTGCGTGTGTGTGTGTGTGTGTGTGTGTGTGCGCGCGCGCTAACATCATAAGGTCAGCCAGGCTGGGTAAAGTCCTAGTGGGTTTCAGGGAGCCTGTACGATCCTGATGTTGCAATGTGGTCCATAGGGAAGGGAGGCTGCTTGGTCCTGAGGAGCCATGTATTTTTTAATGTATGTGTTCTTTAAAAAAAAAAAAAATGTGTGTGTGTGTGTGTGGTGTTGGTGCTGTACCACTGAGCCACCTCCCTCCCCCACTCTTAAGGCCGTAGACTGGGAAGGTAAGACCATAGAAGCGTCTCCCTTTAAAAAACGGGCTGTTTTTAGTAGTGCAGAGTCTGCCTTGCCCTGTTCTTTTTTTTTTTTTTTTGAGACAGGGTCTCCTAAGTTGCCCAGACTGCCCTTGAATTTGGGATCCTCCTGCTTCTGCCTCCTGGATAGCTGGAATGATAGGCCTGTGCCTCAGCTGCATCACTATTCCACAGTCACATTTTAATCTTTTTAAAAAATTAATTATTTTTTTATTTATGTTTTGGTGTTGAGGATTGAACCCAGGAGTGCTCAACCACTGAGTCATATCGCCAGCCCTTTTTCACGCTATAGAGACAGGGTCTCACTAAGTCATTTGCCAAGCTGGCTTTGAACTTGGGATGCTCCCAAGCCACTGGGATTATAGGCATGTGCCATCACACCTGGCTCATTCTTTAATTTTCATCTTCCGTTCTGGCTAAAATTTGAGCTGCCATACAAAAATGTGAATAAAATCTCTTCTAATGTCATCTTCTTTGGTTTATGAAATATTATTTACCTGTATATTTGCTATTTATTTGAAAATTGTTTCTTTTTTTCTGGAGCCAGATGGGGAATCCAAGAGCCAGGAGTAACCCACAGTGATCAAGATAGGTCTCCCATTGTGTAGTTACTGCATTTATTCCCTTCCTAAATAAGGGCAGATTCTTATAGACTAGGTAGATGCTTTGAGCTTGTGGGAAGGAGGCATAGTTTGTAAAAGCTGAGGTTTTTATTATAAGCCTTGTAAGTTCAGATCCGGCTTAACAGGACTCCTAATTGTATGGTGAGCATTGCTTTAAAAATAACCCAGAGATTTTACTACAGTGTCTTTTTTTTTTTTTTTTTTTTTTAATTATTGCCATTTTAGGGCTGGAGCTGTGGCTCAGTTGGTAGAGTGCTTGCCTGACATATGTGAGGCCCTTGATTCAATCCTCAGCACTGCATTTAAATAAATAAATAGATGAATGATAAAAGATACATTTGACAACTGAAAAATATTTTAAAAATTATTGCCATTTTTATATTTATTCTCAGTGGTCTTTTTAATTCTGTTTTGAAACCACGATTGTGCTTGGTTCCACTACAGTTTCTACAGTGAAGATTTCTGAGATTGCTGTTTCCCTGAGCTGCCTCTTTTCAGCTTTTTTCCTTTTTGGCTAGTCTTCATTTTTGAAATTCAGGTGGTGGTTATTTTTGGGCCAGGGGTTGGCGGGAGGATACTGGGAATTGAACCTGGGTCCTGTGTGTGCTCTCACTGAGCTTCACACCCCCCATCAATTACTTTTAACTTTTTTTGTGGAAAATTTAAAACATATACAGAAGCTGAGAGAATTCACCTTTAGCTTTTGAGAATGGAATGGAATATTTTATGACATCTGTCATGTTTAGCATGTTGAAATTCTTTTTCTGTGGGGGTTACCAGGAATTGAACTTAGGGGCATTCAACCACTACGCCACATCCCCAGCCCTATTTTATATTTTTTTAAATTTAGAGACAGGGTCTCATTGAGTTGCTTAGTGCCTCACTTTTGCTGAGGCTGCTTTTTGAACCTCAGCCTCCTGAGCTGCTGGGATTATAGGTGTGCACTACTGCACCTAACTAGCATGTTGAGATATAATAATGAATTAGGGTATAGTGTTCAAACAACTGGAAATATGTATAAGAAGCCATTCTTCAGTGATGTTTAAAATTACCTGGTAATCTCATTTTGACTGTATTTGCTGATGTGGTTTCATGTGATGAGTATGCTTTGATGGCAGCTTTGAAAGGTATCTTTATTTTCTAGCTCATAGTAATTTACTGCTTTCTAGACACTCTACCTGGGTTTAGTGTTTATATAGAATGCATATTAAAAATATAGAATTTGGGCTGGGGATATAGCTCAGTGGTAGAGCCCTTGCCTTCGGTTCAATCCCTAGGATCACAAAAAATAAATTTAAAAAATATGGGATTTACTTTATTCCATCTGATACTCAGTTTTACTTCCCTTGTGCCCATCTCCAGCTGGAGGTCAGGTATTTTTATTGATGCTGGAGCTTTATGGTCCAAAGGGCTCAGGACCAGAGACAAGAATCACACGAAATAACAGTTGGCAGTGCCCCAGGGTCATTGTGTCACCCACCGGTATGTGGGCTCCAGGCTGCTTTCTGGGACCTGTTTATTTCTCTCTTTGTTTTTTGGCCCTAATACTTTTTACACTCATTTTTCTCTTCCATTTCTTTTATTCTAGCTGGCCGTTTTATGGAAATGAATCAGTTCTTCATCAGAAGTTTGAGAACTGAAGTTTTGGGGTTTAAATGCCTGTCTGCCTTAGTACTGTCTTCCAAGAGCCTATTGAGATAGTGAAATAATAGGAAGTAGCATTTACTTTTACTCTCTGCCCTTGGTTCCTGGCATACAACTCTTAATAACCTTGGGATTGCCAATATATTTTTTGTATGCTATTAGGTGACTACTGGCTGGAGATTCCTGAGTAATTTTGAGGTGAGGGTGCTGGTTGCTAGAGGAACAAACTATGTAATTGTAGGGAGAAGGGCTGAAGGTTGAGTCCATTACTAGTGGCCAGTGACTTAAATCAGTCATGCAACATAAAGTGTTTTTTGGATTCTATGAGCAGCTCTAGCAGATAGTGCCTGGTGGTGGGCTCTGACTGGAGAGGCAAGATAGGCTTACCGAAACAGTCCCTGGCTTGTCTCTTTGTTGGATTCCCTGGTCTAAGGCTGGATTGCTCACCTGCACAGGATAGTAGGCGCTGGTCTGGAACTGGAGGGTGGGAGGAAAGTGGGTGTTCTCCACACATTTATTTCTCTTTTTAATTATTCTCTTATTCACTAAAAAGATATTTCTTCCTCCCTAAATTTTCTAGTAATTTGTATTCACTAAAACAAAAGTATTGTGAATATTTCTAGCACCTCAATATTTGCATATTTTCTAAACTCTAACATGAAAAACCTACTTTAGTGTCCTGCGTTGTTGACACTGTCATGGAATTTTGCCCAGTTATTGCTAGAAACCTTTTGAAATCTAGGGATCTTTGGAAGATCTAGTATTTGGTCTTCAAGTTTTCTGCCTTGTTTGCATTTTGCATTATTAAAAATTTTTTAAATTACTTTCAGGTCTTCCATTATTGCCAGAATCAGTGGATAGATCTTGACTGTTTATAGTTACATCAAAGGCAGTATGTACAGTTTTCTTGATTCTTCCATGTTTAAGTTTTTTGTTTTTGTTTTTTTGGTACCAGAGATTGAACACAGGGGTGCTCGACCACTGAGCCACATCCCTAGCCCTATTTTGCATTTTATTTAGAGACAGGGTCTCAAGAGTTGCTTAGTGCCTCGCTTTTTGCTGAGGCTGGCTTTAAACTCTCCATCCTCCTGTCTCAGCCTTCTGAGCTGCTGGGATTATAGACAAGAGCCACTGGGACTGGCTCATGTTTAAATCTTGAAGTGAACTGGGTCATGATTTCTTGTGTCATGGTAAAAGCATTTAAATTAGATCATTGATCCCCCTCCCCAAACTTGGCAGTCTTTTTAGTAAGCTAATGTATTTTTTGGTTTCAGAAAGTCATTTGACAATTCTTTTACTCACACAGAATTACTTGGCGATGTACTCAAAGATCGTCCCCAGGAAGCAGATGGAATCGATTCGGTGATTGTAGTGGACAATGTTCCTCAGGTGGGGCCTGACCGACTTGAGAAGCTCAAAAATGTCATCCACAAGATCTTTTCCAAGTTTGGGAAAATCACAAATGATTATTATCCTGAAGAGGATGGAAAAACAAAAGGGTAAGTCTGCACTCCTATCATTGAAGTGCCATGTGTGTATTTTGGTGTCTACATGATTATAACCTGTTGTGGGAACTCACTGTGAATGCATGCCGCAATAGTGGGCATTCATTTATTTAGGCCACCCCCAGTTGGAAACTCTCAGAAGCTGGATTTTGGTCCTGGGGTCATCATGGAGGTAGAATGAACAAGGTGACTGTTGTGTTGGCTGCTGACTTGGGAAGAGTCAGACTCTGATGAGCTTGAAACTGTCCCCCAAGGTAGTAACAAGGGTAAGGGTTTGGCTGATCTGGATGCTGGCAGAGTGTCAAGAAAATTTTACATGTGGAGTTTTATGCTGATACCCTTTTATCCTACATTTTAATTTCTTTTAGAGTTTTAGATGGACACAATACCTTCATTTATTTTTATGTGGTGCTGAGGATGGAACCCATTGCCTCATGTGCCAGGCAAGTGCTCTGCCACTGAGCTACAACCCCAGCCTCTTATTCCACATTTAACATCTCTGAAATGGGGTGCTTCTTGCAATCTAGGTGAAATTGGTGCATCACTGCTTAATTAGCATTTATTAGTGTTACCAAAAAGAGTGGTATATTTTTTTAAAATAACGGTAGTGCAATTGCTTTTTCTGTTCAGAATTAGATCTTTCATGTTGATAAGTTATATTCTGATTCTTTTATGTTGTTTTTTATGGTGATGGGGCTAGAACCCAAGCCTTAAAGCACATTAGGTTAACCCTGTGCAACTGACCTAGTCCTCCATATTGGCAAATTTTAGATACTGTTTTCTATTATGACTTTTCCTGTTTTTTTAACACAATGTTTTACCATTATAAAAGTCCCCTACCTGTAATCTGTGCAAGTGTGTGCCTCTCTGTTATACCCAGGAGTCAAGATTGTTGAGCTGTGCAGAGTGCCTGTCCATGGTGCACTGGGTGATATGCTGTGTATAGTCCAGTGTCTCCTGCCAACAGTTTTGGGGAGTTTGTTTACTGTCTCCCAGTCTTGTCAGAGCTTCTCCGTTAGTCTTTCATGTAAATGCCAGCTTTTGAGAGCACAGTCATCTCATGGGAATGAGAGGATGATACAGTGGTTTTTAAGTAAAGTTTTGAAGTTTTTAAAACTACCTAGGATAGTTTGTTTCTGGAAAAAGTATCAAGTAGAGGTGGTGCTGCTGACGTTTTACATTTCGGGAAGTAGGTTGAAGGATGACTTTTTTGACCAGGAGTTGCTGTGCTATAAGTTTTCTTAAAATGAACATCCTCTGAGGTCCTTTGTAACTTTGCATTTCATACATAATAGTAGACTTAAAAAAAAAAATTGTAGTTGTAGATGGACAGAATCCCTTTATTTTTTTTGTGTGTGGTGCTGAGGATCAAACCCAGTGCCTCACGCATGCTAGGCAAGTGCTCTGCCACTGAGCTACAGCCCCAGCCTAATAGTAGACTTTTTTAACAGCTTTACTGAGATAATTTATATCTAGTAAACCTACGTCATTTTAAAGTATAAGATTTGGTAAGTTTTGACATAGCTGTACACATCTTGACATCACCAAATGTTTCCTATATTCTTGTTATCTTGTCTATAGCTTATAATCCCTAAAGTAGAAACTTTGAATCCTCTAGTTAGGATTTTCATTCTTCTTTGGGAAACTACTTGGCCTGTCAGTTGTTACTTGGTTCTTGTTTGACTGCCTAGTATTTTTTTTTTTAAACTGGGAATTGAATCCAGGGATGCTTTACCACTGAGCTACATCCCCAGCTCTTTTTATTTTTTCATTAGAAACAGGGTCTTGCTAAGTTACTGAGGGCCTTGCTAAGTTGCTGCCTTCAAACTTGTGATCTTCCTGCTTTAGTCTTCCTAGTTGCTTGTGCCACAGTGTATGACTATAAAAGAATGCACAAGCTGGAATTGCTCTCTTTCACACTTCAGGTATATCTTCCTGGAATATGCGTCTCCTGCCCATGCTGTGGATGCTGTAAAAAATGCTGATGGTTATAAGCTCGATAAGCAGCACACATTCCGGGTTAACCTCTTCACCGATTTTGACAAGTAAGTTTAGACTTGACTGGGGAACATGGACATTGATATGTGCGAGTGTGTGAGTGGTCACCCTTCCTTAGTGGGTGCTACTGCCTTTCAGACCATAGATGTCTTGTTGGTCAAACAAAATGACAGTCATGAGTCTCAGCCCCATGCTCTTGTCCAGCAGCTCCCCTAAGCAGTCCTAACGCTAGCAGACACTTAATTCCTTCCCTACCTCTGGGGTGGGCTGGGAGGGGTGCAGCACTGCCTCGGCTTGCACTGTGTTCTCTAACCCTACCCAGTCGTCAGTGTGTGCTGCTCAGCAGTGTCTGTTCTCCAGGTATATGACGATCAGTGATGAATGGGATATTCCAGAGAAACAGCCTTTCAAAGACCTGGTAAGTTGTATAAAACCCATATCTAAATAGTTAAAAGGAATGCTGGATATTTTGATTTGAAGTTAGTTATTCCTTGGCAGTTTAAAGATGTTCACAGAGTTTGTTCTCTCTCTAGGAGTTAGAGTTATGAATGATATTTTTTCTTTGATTAAAAGTAATGCACCAGGGGTTGGGGTTGTGGCCCAATTCTCAGCACTGCATATAAACAAATAAATAAATAAAGGTCCATCAATAACTAATAAAACATTAAAAAAAAAGTAACGCACTGTTATTAAATCCCTCCTTTTTTTTTTTTAAAGGGAAACTTACGTTACTGGCTGGAAGAGGCAGAATGTAGAGATCAATACAGTGTGATTTTTGAGAGTGGAGACCGGACTTCAATATTCTGGAATGATGTGAAGGACCCTGTCTCAATTGAAGAAAGAGCGGTGTGTATTTGCAGCCCATGGGTCCACAGTTATTTCTTTTGCAGTTCCTTAACAAAGTAGAACTTTGTTTTCATTAGAAAGTAACAAAAGAACTAGGTGCAATGGAGTACATCTGTAATCTCAGGAGGCTCAAGAGGCTGAAGCGGGAGGATCACAAATTCAAAGCCACCCTCAGCAACCTAGGGAGACACTTTCTTTAAAAAAAAAAAAAAATGGGGGCTGGGGATGTGGCTCAAGCGGTAGCGTGCTCGCCTGGCATGCGTGCGGCCCGGGTTCGATCCTCAGCACCACACATACAAACAAAAAGATGTTGTGTCTGCTGATAACTAATAAATATTAAAATTCTCTCTCTCTCTCTCTTTAAAAAAAAAAAATGAAAAAAAGGGTTAGGGATGTGGCTCAGTTGTTGAGCGCCCCTGAGTTCAATTCCCAGTACCAAAAAAAAAAGAGAAAAGAAAAATTAACAGAAGAGCAGGTGTTTTTTTTTTTTTTTTTTCCTTTGAGATAACTCTTTTGAGAACAGCTTCTTTTATTCTTCTTCCAGCTTTGAAATGAGTCCTGAGAAGTATATGGTAGATTCACTGACCCTACCTTTTTCCACAGAGATGGACAGAGACATATGTGCGTTGGTCTCCAAAGGGCACCTACCTGGCAACCTTTCATCAGAGAGGCATTGCTCTTTGGGGTGGAGAGAAATTCAAGCAAATCCAGAGATTCAGTCACCCAGGGGTTCAGCTCATTGACTTCTCACCTTGTGAAAGGTAAGCTGGTAGCCTTGTTAGCAGCTTTCTATGGTTAATTTTTCTTTGTACCTTGAATTGAACCCAGTGGTTCTTAACCACTGAGCCCCACATCCCTATTCCTTTTTATTTTTATAGGATCTCACTAAGTTGCTTGCTAAGTTGTGTGGCTAGCCTTGAACTTGTAATCCTCTTGCCTGAGCCTTCTGAGTTGCTGGGATTAAAGGCATGAACCACCATGCCAATCTCTGGGGATAATTTTTTTGCAGGGGGCTGGGGTTTACCAGGGATTGAACTCAGGGGCGCTCAACCATTGAGCCCCATCCCTATCCCTAGCCTTATTTTGTATTTTATTTAGAGTCAGGGTCTCACTGAGTTGCTTAGTGCCTTGCCGTTGCTGAGGCTGGCTTTGAACTTGAGATTCTCCTGTCTCAGCCTCCCAAGCTGCTGGGATTACAGTACTGTGTGCCACCGCACTCTGCTCTAGAGATAATTTTTAAAACCTTTTTATCTTGTGGTAATTTCAAACTTAAAAGGAAAATTGTGGGAAGAATACAAAGAACTTCCATGAACTTTTTCTACTGAAATTCTTCAGTTAGCGTTCTGTTATTATTGCTTTGTCATTTTCTCTCTGTGTGTGTGTAAAACTTTTTTTACTTGAGCTTTTTGGGAACATAGCAGTGTGTGTAGTTTAACATTATGTAGTTTCCCCTTAATGTAGTTTCACATTATTACAGTTTTATTTTATTTTCTTGTTACTGTCTTATTTATAAATTAAACTTATCATAGATATGTGTGCATAGAAAAGATAAACAAGTATATGTGGTTTGGTATGAGGCTTTAGACATAGTTGGAAACTCTGTACCTGGGCCTGGTTAAGGTGTAAATGTTGTGTATGGTAGTTGTGTCTCTGAAGACATCTTTCCCTTTCCCTGTCTTTTGATTTTCATATTGACTTGTTAAGACAGAATCAGATATCCTAAAAACTCTTTATGTTCTGGATCAGTCTGATTACTTGAGGCATCATTTAACTTATTCAGTCTTATGGTTTTTGTAAGCTAAATTCTGGTGGATATTTCTTAAAATTGATATAATAGTTTTTATGTAGTGAATTTGGAGCACCCAATTAATTCCTAAATATTTTATTTATGTCTGGTACAAAGTAATTGATGTTTCTCATTTTAGCAGCAGTATGTTAAAACTGATAGAGACCCTTAGCCTGAGACATTACAGGCATACCAGGCTTTATCTACTGTGAAGCCTTTCTCAGTTCCTTCAGGCAGCTAGTTCCACCTGTATTCCTGTAACTTGCCACATTAAGTTATAATTAATTTGTTTACACATTTGTCTAGATCAGCTTGAACAGAGTCTGGGATTTCTCATTCATTATTGGTGAAATGCTTGGATGGTTGGATTCTTTGATTATGTAAATTGCAGTGGGAAAAGTCTATTTTTAGTTAAGGGCTTCATCAATTGCTATAGTTTAAGGACAGTCTGAAAGGTCCAAATAGGGAATTTCATACCTGGTGGTAAAGGTGACTCAAGCTGTAATCTTTAAAATTTTTATTTATTTAAAATTTTTTTTAGTTGTAGATGGACACAGTGTCTTTATTTTATTTATTTTTATATGGTGCTGAGGATCGAACCCAGTGCATCATTCTTGTGTGGCAAGCACTCTACCACTGAGCTACAACCGCAACCCTTAAGCTGTCATTTTTAATTTGGCTGATTAATCTGGTGTCAGAGCCACACCAGGAAAAGATGCAGTCATTGAAAGCCCTGAAGAAACTGTTTGCCCTGCCTTTCTCAGTCTGCTTGCTTCTGCTTTTCTCCTGCACATTGTGAAGAGGGGGCAGTCTGGTTAGGAAATCTGCACTATGTGTGAACAGGGACCAGGTGTTAGGTAAATAGTTGATGTTTCCCTTTGGAGGTATACTTGATTTCCTTTGTAGGTATATTTGATTTTTGGATCCTGTGTCCATCTGTTCTGCTTACCTGGTTAGTCTTAATTAATTAACAGTGGTAAAGCTGCTGTGAGAATCGCACACTGCTCCTTCCTCTGGGCCAACCTACTCACGCAGACTCTCATTTGGGGTGTATGTAGTCTGCCCTGTGCTGATCTTGGTGGAGACCCCATTCTTGGGGACTCTTGCACCACCATGGTACTGAGAGTGGATGAATGCCTCACCTGCGCAGGCTGGCTTCTCTCCCTCCTTTGAGAATGCTTTTTGAGGGATCAGAGAGCATTCTAGGGGAGCATGGTGTGTGGGAACAGTGCTGATCCCTCAAGTCTTGACTGCTTGTTTTGGGTGTTCTATGCCTGTGACTTCCTATAGCTGTCTGTGCTGGAGCTCAGCCTTCAGCCCCCACCAAGGGGAATCACACTCATTGTACACCAAGTCACAACTTCATTTTGTCTCCTTCTCTTTCAGATACCTGGTGACTTTTAGCCCGCTGATGGACACTCAGGATGACCCTCAGGCCATAATTATCTGGGACATCCTTACTGGGCACAAAAAAAGAGGATTTCACTGTGAAAGCTCAGCCCATTGGCCTATTTTTAAGTGAGTAGACCAGACCAGTAAACTGTGTGTAGCTGTTTGTTTTTTCATTAAGGTAGCCTGGCACTTCTTTTTTCTTCTTAGGTGGAGCCATGATGGTAAATTCTTTGCAAGAATGACGCTTGATACCCTTAGCATCTATGAAACTCCTGTGAGTGATTTTAAGGATCTCAAAGACAGACTAGGGTGTCTGTTGCTTATAGTTGTCAGTACTCTTGCTCAAGGATATAATGCTTTTCCTTAATCTGGTGTAGTGAAGGGAAGGCGGGGCTCGACACACTGGGTGCAGGTGCTGTACTCTCCCAGTTTCTCTTGTTCTGGATGGAGCTCTTGAATGTTTTCTGCCTTGAATTGTGTGCTTTAGGCAGTGGCTTTGGAAGTGTGTGTTTCGCTTTTAGGTAGGTGGGAGGTGGTTTTGCCCTCTTTGCCTATTACCCTTGGTGCTTATACTGTTCCCCAGGTAGACTCAGTGGGTACTCGTTCCTTTTTTAAATAATTACATGTATTATTGAGACATTGGCATCATCTAACCCAACTGTAATCCTCATTGGTTTTTTGTTTTTGTTTTTGGCAGTCAATGGGTCTTTTGGACAAGAAGAGTTTGAAGATTTCTGGAATAAAGTAAGTAAAAATTTCTGTTAGATTGGTATGAATGTGCTCTGGCTGCTCTAATAAAACATCATAGACTAGGTGACTTCAACAGAACTGTATTTTTCTCAGTTCTGGAGTCTGAGATAAGAGACCTACAGATTTGGTGTCGGTGAGGGCTTCCTCAAAGGTGAATGTCTACTCCCTAACCTCGCATTGTGAAAGGGTACTAAGCTAATTCACTAGGGCCCCAGCCTCATGACCAAATAGTCTTGGGCTGTACCTGTTTTTGAACTGGAGACTCTTCAGGTACAGAGGCTTCAGCTTCTTAAGGATGAGCATTGGATGAAAGATCTTCCCTATTGTTCTAGTGATCAGGGAAGTGGGAGTGGTAGGCACCAGTGAACCACAGTGTGTTCTCATTATCATGGACAAGCATTCATGTTTTTATTTATCTGAATGCTCTTGCCACTGTAAACTACCCCTAGTCCAAGGATGTTGATGTATCTTACTCCTTTTGTGTTTCCATTCTTTGATATAATTTGGGCTTATAATTAATAATGAAATCAGGACCTGGCTCCCAATAAATATAAAACAGGATTTTGCATATAAAAAGATGTTCTTCAATATAGAGGAACTCACAGATTGTTAAAATAGCCACTTTATGGGGAAATTTGTAGGGTAGAGGGATTTATGCCAATTCTTCAAGTTTTGACTTGGGTGCTTTCCCTTTTTGCACCTTAATTAACCTTTAAATTTCATGTAGCTAGATCCATTAAGTAAAAATTAATTTTACTTGCCTTGTAGCAGCAGTACTTGGTGGCTAAGAGTGTGGGAGTCAAGCTGCTATGTGACAGTGAGCAGGATTAGTAACATCTGTTTTTCTTAGAGTCAAAATGAGTGTAACAAAGCCTCGGGGTTATAAGGACAGCTAGACTTCACACAGAGTACCTGCAACAGTCTGGAACGTGCTGTGTGTGGTGAACTAGGTATCAGTTTAGTGTTAGCTGGTCCGTATGCTAGTGTAGCTTTTACAGAGTGAGTTCTGTTCTTTCCTTTTTCAGTTCTATAATAATTTAGTTTTTGTATAACATTTTATTTTCTTTGTCCTGTAGAGACTTTTCTTGGTCTCCTGGTGGTAACATAATAGCCTTTTGGGTCCCTGAAGACAAAGACATTCCAGCCAGGGTAACCCTGATGCAGCTTCCTACCAGACAAGAGATCCGAGTTAGGAATTTGTTTAATGTTGTGGACTGCAAGCTGCATTGGCAAAAAAATGGAGATTATTTGTGTGTTAAAGTAGATAGAACTCCAAAAGGAACCCAGGTAAGTGGACATCAGAGGGAATAGGTTGTTCCTTGTACTTGGTTGTAAACTAGTTGGTCTTTTTTTTTTTTTGGAGGATGTTAGCGGAATTTTTAATTGTTTAGATTTTGGGATTATTTTCAGCCCCACTTGATACTGAAAGTAGTTAGCTGACATAGTTTAGTAAGTAAGTCTACCTGAGAAATATAACTTCTTTTCTCCATGAAATAACTTTCTGGTCTGTATTTATTATCTTTGACATGGAAACTCTCAGGAGATGGAGGTTTTAGTTTTTTTGTATCAGGGATTGAACCCAGGGGTACTTTAACCACCGCGCCACCTCTCTTGTCAACCCTTTTAAAATTGTATTTTGAGACGGTCTCATTAAATTACTTAGGGCCTTGCTAAATTGCTGAGACTGGCTTTGAACTCATGATTCACCTGTCCTCAGCCTCTCAAGTTGCTGACATTACTGGCATGTGCCACTGTGCCCAGCGAGGCTTTATTCTTTTAAGCCTGTTTTATTTTTTAATAGATAATATACTCAGTTGCTTAACATTC